GACGTGCTGATCGAGGACGAACGGGCAAAAATAAATATTCACACCATCTTCCTTCCTCCTCATCTTCCCATGCAGTCCTCCTCCTCCTCCTCCTCCTCCTCCTCCTCCCCCCCCCCCTCCCCCTCTCTTGCCTCTCGTCGCCGAGTCACAGTCGCAAGTGTCGTTTCATCTCTAGTCTTGTTCCCCGCGTCTTGGTCGTCGCCATCGTCGCGCCTCTCCGCGACCCGCCCCTCGCCCGAGGACGGCGCCGCCCCCGAGGTCAAGCGCCGCTGCATCATCCGGCGCGAGGTGGGGCCCACCAGGCTGTGCATGTGGGGCAAAGTGGTCGACGCGAACACAGCGCAATATCTGAATAAAGGCGCGGCTGGGGCGCTGGGGCAAAGAGATAGAGAAGCGGGAAGGGACGGGATCAGGGCGGCGGACATGGAGGAGGAGTCGGGGGAGGAGGAGGAGGACGACGAGGGCGAGGGCGAGGGGGCGGATGGGGGCGGAGGAGGGCGAGGAGACGATGACGAGGAGCGGAGGAGGAGGGGGTGGGGAAGAGGGAGAGGGAGACGGATAAGGATGATAAGGAGAAGGGGAAGCATGCGGAGTCGGGATGCGGGATGCGGAGTCGGGGAGTCGGATCGACGCGCGCGAGTCGGGATCGAAATCTAAGTGGCTGGAGCTGGAGGATGGGAAGGGGGTTTGGAGAGGGAGAGGTGGGCGATGGGGTGGGGGGGGTGGGCGAGAACGAGGAGTTGGCAGTGGGTGGGGGGAGAGGTCGGGGTCGGAGTCGGAGGCGTCGGAGGAGGGCGAGGAGGGGGAAGGGAAGGGAAGCGGAGGTTGAGTTGCGCGTCCTGGCCCACGGCAGCCGCTCGCGCGGCGGCCACGGCATTGGCCTGGCAGGGCAGGCGGAGCAGGGGGGCGATCGAGAGTCGAGAGAGCGAGCGAGCACGAGCCCTTTCGCCCAGGCACGTGCATCAGCCTGAACCCGCGCAAGCTTGCACCAGGCCAGCCAGCGCTGTACCTCGACGGCAGCGGCTGGATGAACGCGAACAAAAGTGAATGCTGCCCTGCCTGGCTGATCCCAGTGCTCCCGAAGTCAGCGGAGAAGAAGGATGCGAAGGAGGGTGAGAAGAAGGAGTCCAAGAAGGGCAAGAAGAAGGTTCTTTCTTCCCTCTCTTTCCTCCACTCCTTTCTGCCATAGCCTGACCGCCCCCTCAGCCAAGGTCGAGCCGCCCAAGCCGACCCACATGATACAGTTCGAGCGCGTGAAGCTGCTCAGCGACAGCTACCTCAAGGATTGGGAATACTGCGTCCCCATGGTTGTGGACAACCCAAGTTTCCACGACGTCGTGGGTCGGGGGAGCTATCCAAATGGCCGCGTGACAGCGCGGCAGTATCGGGAAGCGGGGGGAGGGGTGGGTAAACGAGGGAGGCGGCTGCTGCAGCGGCGACGGCAAGCCCCTTGCCGTCGCCGCTGCCGCAGCTGCACGGCCGCGCGGCCCATCAGGTGGGAGAAGGTTAGGGGGGGGTGGTGGGGGGGAATGGAGTGGGCTGCGCCTGCGGGCGGAGCGGGGGGGCGGGCGAGCGACGAGGTCGGCGAGGGGGTGGGGGGTGGGCGCCGAGGGGGAAGCAAGGCGGAGTGCGGGAGAGAAAAGAGAGGCAGTAGGCAAGAGGAGGCAGGGAGGGAATGATCGCCCTCCTCCTCATCTTCCTTTTCATTCTCCTCCTCCTCCACCCTCCTTCTCCTTTTCCTCTTCCTCCTCCTCCTCCCTCTCCTCCTCCTTCCCCTCCTCGCTCCTTCCCTCCCTCCCTCCCTCCCTCCCCCCCTCCCCTCCCCCTCCTCCTCCTCATCCTCTTCCTTTCTCTACCTCCTACCTCCTCCTCCTCCTCCTCCTCCTCCCCAGGTGTGAAGTGCTACCGCGTCCCCATGGAGTGGGGCGACGCGCCTGCGGCGAAGCGGCCGCGCAAGGCGGCGGGCGTCGGCGGCTTCGCGGCGCGATGAGCTTCGAGCCGCAACGGCCGCTCGGCCCCGACGGCCCCCGGCCCGCCGGCGCGCCCGCCCGCCGCCGCCGCCGCCGCCGCCAGCCTGCCCCTGCCACCCCTCGGCCAGGGGGCGCGCCGAGGGCGGGGGCAGGCCGCCATTTCCGACGCGCCGATGCCGCTGTCGCGAATCAGAGGGCGGGGTGGGTTGAGGGGCAGCGGGGGGGAGGGGGGGAGCAGTAGGAGGAGGATGAGGATGAGGAAGAGAATGAGGAGGAAAAGGAATAGGAAGAGGGGGTGTCCATCCGCCCCCCTCACCCTTTCCTTCCGCTCGCGGCGGCGGCAACGGCGCGTCGGAGTCGGAGACATCTGAACATCTGACATCGAGACAGCTCGCGGCTCGCGAGCGCTGCGCGTGCAGATTCTCCATCCTTTTCCTGATCTTCCCCCTTCCCTCCGCGCCCTCCTACTCCACCTTCTTCCCCTGGCCCCTCCTGCTCCGACTCTGCATCGCTGCATCTCCGAGCCTGCGGCAGGGCATCCATCTCGCTCTCGACTCGTCGTCTTGAGAGTAGGGGTGGCAAAGAGGAGAGTGGGACCAGAAGAAGGTCGTGGGCCGTAGAAGAGGAGGAAGAGGATTTGTGGGCTGTTGAAAAATGTAGCAGTCGGGGGGGGGGGGGTAGGAAAGGACTCGGAAGTCTGGCCGTAGAAAGGGGGGAGGATTGATAGTGCGGGGGGTAGGACCAGGAGAAGAGAAGGGGGGGAATGAAAATGGGAAACACGAAAATACGGGAAGGAGGGGGAGTAGGGGGGCGCGGAGGGAAGGGGGGGGAGTATGAGGAACAGGATGAGGAAGCTGAGGAGGAGGAGGGGGGGGGATGCCCAGGGTGGGTGGGTGGGGGTGGGTGGGGGGTGATCCCAAGGGTCTGTGGCATGCTGCCGTGGCGGCAGTTCCCTCCACGAGTAGGGTGTTTCAGGGGAGGGGAGGGGAGGGGGATGGGGGGGAGGGGGAGGGGTGAGAGGAGGAGGAGGAGGAGGAGGAGGAGGAGGAGGGCAGGAGGCAGGGAGGAGCGATGGATGAGGAGCAGGAGGAGGAGCAGGAGCAGGAGCAGAACCGGAGCAGGAGCAGGAGTAGGAGCAGGAGGAGGAGGAGGAGGAGGAGGAGGAGGAGGAGGAGGAGGAGGAGGAGGAGGGAGCGAGGAACGAGGAACGAGCAGCGAGGAGCGAGGATGGGGAGGAGGAAGAGGAGGAAGAGGAGGAGGAGGACCAGTGAAACCGCAAGGGTCATCAACGGTGTTGGAATCAACCCTCCCTCCAAGCTCCCTCTTCATAGGCCCCTACGGCGGTTCATTTCCATTGAGGGAACTGCCTCATTGGAAGACCACCGTTTGAACACCTCGAAGCATGATGCCAAAACATTGTTCTCGGGATTCCAACGCCACGGATCAACCTGACTGTTGCGTCTTGACGATCCTGAATCGTGCCAGAACGCCATTGTGGGACTTCAACACTGCGAACAACGTAATTGGTGCACCCTCCCAATCCTGAATCTCTCCAAAAAACTATTTCCGGCACGCTGATCATGGGATTCCGTGGCACTCGTGCACTAAAATAAAACGAATGCGCGCGGCGCTAAGGCGAGGGGCGCCGAGGGCCACATTTTGAGTGGGAATTTCCCTCAATCCGTGAAGCTCTTGCAATGTTTGTTAAACGAATGTGCGCGGCGCTAAGGCGAGAGCCACATGTTGAAAATCACCCGCCCTCCATCTGTGAAATTGTTGTCACTGTTTAAGCTTCATTTCAGGGTCATGAGTGGTGGGTAAGTCTCAGGCGAAATGCCCGGTCCGCCCTAAAAACTGGCCTCGGGGTGCGACAGGAAGATGCTATTTATACGGAAAACGAATGGATGAGGAGGAGGAGGAGGAGGAGGAGGAGGAGGAGGAGGAGGAGGAATTATGAGCAATAGGAGGGAATAGGAGGATTCAGGGAGGAATGGAGGAATAGGAGGAATAGGAGGAATGGGAGGAATGGGAGGAGAGGAGGGGAGGAGGGGAGGAGGAGTGAGGAGGAGGAGATGGAGGAGGAGGTGGAGGTGGAGGAGGAAGAGGAGGAGGAGGACCAGTGAAACCGCAAGAGTCATCAACGGTGTTGGAATCAACCCTCCCTCCAAGCTCCCTCTTCATAGGCCCCTACAGCGGTTCATTTCCATTGAGGGAACTGCCTCATTTGAAGACCACCATTTGAACACCTCGAAGCATGATGCCAAAACATTGTTCTCGGGATTCCAACGCCACGGATCAACCTGACTGTTGCGTCTTGACGATCCTGAATCGTGCCAGAACGCCATTGTGGGACTTCAACACTGCGAACAACGTAATTGGTGCACCCTCCCAATCCTGAATCTCTCCAAAAAACTATTTCCGGCACGCTGATCATGGGATTCCGTGGCACTCGTGCACTAAAATAAAACGAATGCGCGCGGCGCTAAGGCGAGGGGCGCCGAGGGCCACATTTTGAGAGGGAATTTCCCTCAATCCGTGAAGCTCTTGCAATGTTTGTTAAACGAATGTGCGCGGCGCTAAGGCGAGAGCCACATGTTGAAAATCACCCGCCCTCCATCTGTGAAATTGTTGCCACTGTTTAAGCTTCATTTCAGGGTCATGAGTGGTGGGTAAGTCTCAGGCGAAACGCCCGGTCCGCCCTAAAAACTGGCCTCGGGGTGCGACAGGAAGATGCTATTTATACGGAAAACGAATGGAGGAGGAGGAGGAGGAGGAGGAGGAGGAGGAGGAAGAGGAGGAAGAGGAGGAAGAGGAGGAAGAGGAGGAATAGGAGGAATAGGAGGAATAGGAGGAATAGGAGGAGTTAGGAGGGAATAGGAGGAATAGGAGGCATAGGAGGAATGAGAGGATATGGGAGGAATGCGAGTAGGAGGGGGTGGAGGTGGAGGAGGAAGAGGAGGAGTGAGGAGGAGGAGGAGGAGGAGGAGGAGGAGGGGGGCGGGGGCTTCTTTTGTCGACAAAATCGAAGAGGAGCTGGGCCAGTGGACGCAGGCGCAGGACAAGATGAGCGGCCAGAGGTACTACTACCACCAGGCCACCAAGAACGCCATGTGGCAGCCTCCTGGCGAGGCGCCCAGACACCCCCCAGAGGATCACAATCTTCCATGTTGGCGGTCGATCTTCCACATTGGTGGGGGACAATTTCCATAAGGGAGGAGCAGAGACTCGCGAACCTCCGTTTTGGAGGTTTTGACTTCCCTGGGCCGCACTGCTTTCCCTCTTCCACTCGATTGTGCTCCCCCGCCCCCCCCCCCACATCGAGTGTTCGAGGCGTCGAGGGTTCGAGGGTTCAAGACATCGAGGGTTCGAGGCATTGAGGATCCAACCGTTTTGTCCCCTCCGCACCCCTTGTTTCGCTTCCGGGGCGCCCTCGAGGGCCCTCAATCTTCCGCCATCGGCCGTATCTAGCGAGGCGGCACATCTGACAACACGGGTGATAGCAGGCAACATCAGCAGCAGTTTGTTCATGAAGAGCAAAGTAACGAGCAGCAGAAGGAGGAGGATGACGAGCAGCAGAAGCAGGAGGACGAGAAGGACGGGGAAGAGGAGGGGGAGGGTTTCAGTAGCCATCTTGGCTCAATGCCACTCTGGCCCCTGGCCCCCGCGCCACGCGCAGGGACCCAGAAGGGAGGCTGGCCAAGACATTTGGGATATCGATAGTTTGGGTCGAACATACCGGGGGTACGCAAAGGAGGCTCAGACGGAGATGGAGAAGGACATCGGTGATTATGATGATGATGATGATGATGATGATGATGATGATGATGATGATGATGATGATGATGATGATGATGATGATGATGATGATGATGATGGTGATGGTGATGGTGATGGTGATGGTGATGGTGATGGTGATGGTGATGGTGATGGTGATGGTGATGGTGATGGTGATGATGAGGAGGAGGAGGAGGAGGAGGAGGCGGAGGACCCAGAGGATAAGGAGGAGCACTCAGAAAACGTGGAGGACCTGGCCTCTTCTTGGGAGAAAGTGGGCAGCGTTAGAGGTGGGCAATGGGAGCATGAACGTGGACGACCTCAGCAGTGGTCAACGTCCGGTGCCGACCCTTGGGAGAGAGGTGGACAGAGGCAGCAGGAACGGCAGAGGAGGGACGGCAGTCACAGCGCGCACTGCAATGCGAAAACTGTAGAAGGCCGTGCGTCATCAGCTACAGACCGGCCGCAGTGTGTGCGAGAGACGAACTCATCGGCTGCGTTCGCGAGCCAACACGCGCGAAGAAAAACGGCAGTAGCAGCAGACGATGTGGCAGGCGCCAGACGCCATCGGCTACAATCTGGAGCCAGGGCCTGCGCGAAGAGCTGGCAGTGGCAGCGGACGCTGTTGCGATAGTTCTAGAAGACCAGACGTCACTAGTTGCAGAGTGGCAGATACGCGTACGAGAAACGCCGGCAGCAGTAAGTGCGGAAAGCGGCGCGAGAGTTGGATGCCAGACGTCAGCATCGACATGCGCGGACCAGGGTGGGCGAGAAAAAACGGCAGCGTCAGCGAACAATGTGGCAAGAGATCCGCACCAGGCGTCACCAGCTACAACGTCGAACTGGAGCGTGCGCGAAGAACGGGTAATGACAGCAGCTGACAGAGTCACAAGAATTTCGGACAACCATACGTCATCAGCTACAGACTGGCAGCAGCGTGTGCGAAACGCGATGGCAGTGGCAGCAGAAAACGGCGCGGCGGCAGGGTACCAGCCGTCACCAGCTACATGCGCAAACCAACGCGAGCGAGAAGAGTTGCATCAATAGCAGCCCAGAATCAGAGCGTGCGCGAAGGGCTGGCAGTGGGAGCAGACAGTGCGTCGAGAAATGTAAAAGACCAGACGTCATCATGTACAGACAGGCCACAGCGACGCTGTAGCCAGTCTGTACATGGTGACGTCTGGTCCCTTGGCGAGGCTCGCCGGCGTCTCTGCGTCGCTGGCGCCGCGCCTGGCGCCCCCCCCCTTTCGCCATCCCTTGCAGCTTTGAAAGTTTAACTTGTAGACGTGGCGTTGCGCTCCCTTCGCGTTTCCTCCTAATGCTCGCGCGAGCTGCAGGTAAATGCCATTCGTGCAAGAGGTGCCCCAGTGCAGTTTACAAACATGAGGTGTTTTACATCGCAGACCAGAAGTACATATTCAGAAATGAAGATTTACTTTTCCGTGAAGCGTGTGCGATAAATCTAGCAGGGGCAGCAGAAAACGGTGCGAAAGCTGGGTACCAGACCTCATCAGTTACAAGCTCGGACCAGCTGATGCGAGAAGGACAGGCGGTGGCGGCAGACAGTGGAGCGTGCAGTGGGAGCCGATTTCCATCAGCTACGATGCAGCAGGGCGACCATGAATTCGAATGGGCCGCCCACGATAGGTTGTACAGGCGGAGCCACAGGCCTTGGTTCAAAAAAGCTCGGTTTGCAGGGAGAGCGCACGCAATCACATGTCCAACAGTTTTTGGAGCAGCAGTGAAAAAACGCGAAGGAGTAAGTAGGCACGCCTCCGCTCCAGAACAACAGCGAAATGGTATGGGACACGGAGGTTGAGAAGCTCGGCGACGACGAGGCGGAAACGTACCGCCGCAGTCGGGAACCCAAGGAGACCAAGCGGCGGATTACCATAGGTGACACCGTCGAGGCAAAGTTCGGCAAGAAATGCGTCGATTGCGTAGTCATACAGATCGACGCCCTGTAGACTACGGTCCGGTGGGAGGACGGCCGAGAGTCCACGGTAGGCAGAGCTACAATCCGGCGGAAGCTACAAAGGTGAAACCATTTGTGCAATGTGTTGTCACAGTCCTGGATTGGAACGTGAAGAGTAAGGATCAAGTGCCACGTCCACGGTCGGTGCAAGAGTCATTCAAGGCGAGGCCAGAGAAGGAAGGTGCCAGCCTGAAGTTGGACGACGACGTGAACTGAGAGGGCCGCCGCTCTTTTAGGGCCGCCGTTGGAAACCAAACCGTTTTTGTTTGTGTTGTGGCCTTCCAGGGCCGACTGCGGAACCCTGTGACCTCTGGGGCGGTTGCCCTGTTGCAGTCAGCGTTTGGGGTTTGGACACCGAGGCCGCCGTCAGTGCACGGCACGGCGGCGGCGAGGCCCCGCCCCCGCCTCTCCCCCCCCCCATGCTGTGAGGGAGTCCTCCCCCTTCCCCCGCCTCCCTCCAACTGTGGAACCGCCGAGTTCCTGCGTGGTGTCGGAACCTCGGCCCCGCCAGCCCGCCGCCAGCGCTGGTCGCGGGCGTCGTGGCGCTGCATAGGAAGGATGACGAGGAGGACGAGGAGGAGGAGGAGGAGGACCAGCGTAAACACAAGACTCATCAACGATGTTGGGATGCACCCTCCCTCCGAGCTCCCTCTTCGTAGGCCACATGCAAGGGGTCACTTCCACTGAGGGAAGTGCCCCGTTGGGAGGCAACCGTGTGAAAATCCTGAAGCGTGCCCAAACACCATTCTCAGGATTTCATCGCCACGAGTCAACCCGACTGCTGCGTCTTGACGATCCTGAATCATGCCAGAACACCATGCCTGAGACTTGCGCACCGCGAATCAACGTAACTGATGCGCCCCGACAGCCCTGACTCGCTCCAGAACGCCATTTCTGGAATATTAGCAATGGTAATCCGCGAAATTTCTGCCTTGTAAAAAACGAATGCGCACGACGCTAAGGCGAGAACCGGTCCCTGAAAAGGAACCGCCCTCAATCCGTGAAGTTCTTGCAACTGTTGCAAACGAGCCGCCCTCAATCCGTGAGGCTCTTGCAATTTTATAAAAACGCATGCGCACGGCGCTGAAGCGAGAGTCATGTTTCAAGCCGCCCTCAATCCGCGAAGCTCCTGCACGGCACTAAGGCACGAACCACATTTTGAAAACCATTTTCTTTCAATCCGCAAAAACCTTGTAAATGTTCAAAACGAATGCACGCGGGACTAAGGCGAGAGCCACATTTTGAAAACGACCCGCCCTCAATCCGTGAAGCGCTTGCAACTCTTAGAAACAATTGTACGTACGCGGCGCTATGGCGAGAGCCACATTTTGGAAAAACCACCCGCCCCCAATGTGCGGAACCACTGCCAGTTTCTAGAGCTTCAGGCTCATAAATAATAAGTAAGTTTCAGCTGAAACGCCCGGCTCGCCCTTTGACCGGCCTCGGGGTGCGACACGGAAGAGTCATTTATTGAATCGCTTCGCTCATTCCGCCGGCCCATTTCGCATGACTGAGCCTCTTGGGGCCGCTGGGGGGCCTCTTCAGCGTCGCTTGGGGGCCTCCTGAGGGCCTCTTGGGGGCTTTTGTGGCCTCTCAGGGGCCTCTTGAGGCCTCCTGGGGGCTTCTTAAGGCCGAGGGCTCGAAGTTTTGTTTTGTGTTCCCCCTTTGGGGCATCGCTTGGGGCACTCTTGGGCCCCTCTTGGGCCGTCTTGGATGCCTCTGGGGCCGTCTTGGAGCCCTCTTGGGCCATCTTGGGGCCTTCGTGGGAGCTTCTTGGGCCCTCTTGGGGCGATCTTGGGGGCCTCTTGGGCCGTCTTGGGGCGTCGGGAAGCCGAAAAGATGGACACGCCAAAATCTGCCCCAAACCTCAGGAAAAGTAATGAATTTTGCCTCTTGGGGCCCTCTGGGGAGTGCTCTTGGAGGCCTCTTGGGGCGTCTGGGGGCCATCTTGGGCGTCTTGGAACGATCGGGTGGCATCTCGGAGCACTCTTGAACCATCTTGGAGGGCTCTTGGCGGCCTCGTGGCCCTTCTTGGGGCTCTCTGGAGGGCCACGGGGGCGGCGCCCAGGAGGAAAACCATCTTTGACCCGACCCTGCCGGGGATCGCCCGGGGTACTTTTCTTCCGGGGACCCCCAGGGGCCGCCCCGCGCGCGCGAAGTAGAAGTATTATTTAGCAGTTACCGGAGATCTTAGCACGCCTCTGGCCCGTTGGGCCGGCGAATAAGGAAAAGGAATGGAGGAGCAGGAGGAGGAAGAGGAGGAGGAGGAAGAGAAGGAGGAGGAGGAGGAGGAGGAGGAAGAGACAGATGAAGAGGATGAGGAAAAGGAGTCAGGAGGAAGCAGGCAGGAGGAAGAGAAGAAGGGTAATGCGAAGCAGAAGGAGTAACAGCAGCAGTTTGAGGAGGAGGGTGTGATAGCCCGCTTGTGGGGCGGGGCGAGTGTGTGTTCGGGCCCCCCCGTGGTCGAGGTGCTCCTGCCGGCCCACTACTTCCGCATGAGGTTGACGGAGATGTTCCGGCACCAAGGTCTTCCTCCATTCTCCTCCTCCTCCTCCTCCTCCATTGTTGTTCTTCTTCCTTCTAAATAACTCCGCCTTGTCGCCCCCCTAGACGTGTCGGTATGGCGGGCTGGGCGGTTCGCTTGAAATATCCCCACCATTTATGGTTCTATAGGCTTTTTTTTCCTTTGTTTACTTTTTCTTTCTTTTTTTTTTTTTTTTTTTTTTAATTTTTTTTTTTTTTTTTTTTATTTTTTTTTCTAGTTGTTTTTTGGTTTGTCTATTTTTTTTTTTTTTATTTATATTTTGTTTGTATTTTGTTTTTATTTTAATTTTTTTTTTTTTTTTATACTATTGTTATTTTTTTTTTTTCTTTTTTTTTTTTCTTATTTTTTTTTTTTTTTGTTTTTAATTTTTGTTTTATATTTTTTTTTTTTTTTTGTTCTTTTTTGTTGTTTTTATACGGTCCCATCACGCCAGACCCCTGTAATAAACTACTGCGCCTACGGGACTGCACTCCTCGTGGCGAGGATTCTCGCGGGCCTCTTCGAGGCAGTTTCGAAGGGTCTCGGGGGCCGTTTGGGGGGCTTCTTTTGGGCCTCTTGGGGGGCTCCTTGGGGCCTCTTGGGTGCCTCATGGGGGCCTCTTGGGGCCGCTTGGGGGCCTCTTGGGTCCTCCGGAGAGCTTCGTTGGGCGGAGCGCTGGAATTCGCGGTTCGTGGTCCTTCTCTTGGGCCCTTCTTGGGGCCGTCTTGGAACTCTCTTGGGCCGTCTAGGGCGCCTCTTGGGCCACGTTGGAGTTCTTTTGGGTTGTCTTTGGGGCCTCCTGGGAGCCTCGTGGGCCGTCTTGGGGTGGTCCTTGGGGCCTCGTGGGGGCCTCGTGGACGGTTTTCAACGCCATGAAGGCTAACAAGTTGGATGTGCTGAAAATGCATTTCAAGATTTTGGTTTCTTGGGGGCTTCTTGGGAGGCCTCTTGGACGCTTCATGGGGTGTCTGGCGGCCTCTTGGGCAATTTTGAGCTCATCTTGGGCGTCTTGGAACGATCTTTCGGCGACTTGGGGTTCTCGTGGACCGTCTTGGCGGCTTCTTGGGGGGCGTCAAGTGCTGTTGTGCAGGAAATCAGAAACAATGGGAGCGATTTTTCGAACGTCGCGTGCGACGAGGGGGGGTGGGGGGTGACCTCAGAAAACGTTGAAGGTAATTTGCCATAACAGGAGAGTATTCTAACCCGCGCCAACGTGCCACTGGCACGGTGGCGGAAAACGTTAGTTGTTTTATCCTTTTTGGCCACCCCTCTGGGCCCCAGATATTGCCCAAGAGACGTCCAAGTGGGCTTCAAGGCGGACCCACGCTGGAGGCGTGGACTCCCAACCGCGATTCTGGGGCCTCGCGAAGGTCACGCGAGCTCCCCTGGAGCCCGCAGGGGGCCCTGGGAGCCAGCAAGAGCACCCGCAACCTTCAGCGACCGCGGCCTGTTCCAATCTTCAGGGCATGGGGGTATTCCGTTACGTGCCAGATGCATGTTGGTGGACGGATTTGCTTGTCAGGGAGTTCAAATTTGTTGCTTGGAGGAGTCGCCAGGCAGGAGAATATAAGGGTGGGCGGGACGTGGTGGTGCTATGTTGTCTGACCTTTTTTTTGTTCTCTCTCTCTCTCTCTCTTTCTCTCCCACGCCGACTGCCCAAAGGTCTCCCGGAGGCCACCGCAGCCCCAGCGCGGAGTGCCACCACCTCGCTTCCATCACCCGCGCTGGTGCCCGACTGCGACGCGGTGCAGAGCCTAGCTGCGCCACTGATCGGCTGTCGGAGAGCTGGACAGGGCTGTGTACGGATGGGCATCCCTCTTGCGCCGCTCGGGCCAGGCTGGCAACCAGCGCTGGCCGCACCGTGGCGCGACTGACCGCCAGGCTTGGAGTTGCCTTGCTTGTCTACTGGGGAAACCTTCTCCTTGGGCGTCAGGTCAGAGCTGAGAGCTGGCCGCCCTCCCTGTGAAGCAGGGCGCATCTCCGCGCGGCCTTCGCTGGCCGGGTGCCTACATCGCCCGCCCACCCACCCACCCCGACCCACCCCGCGCGGTGGAGTCCAGCGGCCTCCCCCCTCCCGAGGCCAGCGGTAGTGTCTGAAAATCCTGTGCGCTAGATGCGTGCGGCATGTTCGCGCCGGGTCGACGCGGCGGCGACTACGGCGCGGGTGTGCAAGGCTGAAGACCACCAGAGCGGGTTGACTCGGGCCAGCCTTGAGTGGTCTCCGCTGGCTGTGGAACACCGGAGGTCGGCTGGGGTCGAACGACCTTCGCGAGTAACCAGCCGTAGGCCCTTCGATTGTTGGGTCCTGCCTGGTCGACGCTGCGACCAGCCGCTCAAAGTCGGTCCCTACACCGCTCCCAGGGCCCATCCTGGCTGGTTTCTCGAACCGCGTCTGGCCGTGGCGTCCAGACCCTCTGGAGGCGCCCCAGAGCCTCCAATGCGAAGATGTCGGCGTCGACTTCGTCGTCGTGCCCGTCCGGCCTGGCTCGGAGAAGACACTACTGCGTAAACACAATCTGCCCGCGTGGATCTCTTGGGTTGGCCCTGGACTCCTGTGGCGGCGCCTCCGGCGCAGCCCCAGCGCGCTCCGCGCGCCAGGGGAAGGGTGGTGCAGCGCCGGCCCGGGAGATTCGCGCAGACCTTCGAAAGCTTGCGCTCAGGCCGTCGTTGCTTCCTCTGCTGGCCGGCTGCGCCCGCGCCGATCGAGGCGAGGAGGAGCGCCGCGGGCACGGCGGGCGAGGGCGCCGCGGCGGACGGAGCCTGCGACGGCGGGGCGCACAGCGCGCGGCTGCAGGCACAGAGGTCTCTCCTGAGGCGTGGCGGGCCCGAGGCGGCGACGGCGACCGACGACGACGGCGACGACGACGGCGACGACGACGACGGCGGTGACGACGACGACGACGACGACGACGACGACGACGACGACGACGACGACGACGACGACGACGACGACGACGACGACCACGACGGCGACGGCGACGACGACGACGACGACGACGCGACGACGACGACGACGACGACGACGACGACCACGACGGCGGCGACGACGACGACGACGTCGTCGACGACAGTGACGACGGCGACGGCGACCGACGGCGACGGCGACCACCAAGACGACGACGGTAACGACGACGACGACGACGATGACAACGATGACGGCGACGATTACGACGAACTCCAAGTAACGACGATGGCGACGATTACGACGATGACGGTGACGGTGTCGACGACGGTAACAGTGACCACGACGACGACGACGACGACGACGACGACGACGACGACGACGACGACGACGACGACGACGACGGCGGCGGCGGCGGCGGCGGCGGCGGCGGCGACGACGACGACGACGACGACCGTCCTCCCTCTTCCCTCCGCCCCTCGACATGCACAGATTCGAGACGGCTGGCCTCTTGAGCTCTTGAGTGTGCGTCGGTTCTTGCTGGTGCGGGCAGCCTGGGGCGGTGGGAGGCGACAGGCAGGAAGCGGCAAGGCAGAAGCTCTCGGAGGTCCGCGTAGACGTCCTGGGTCGGCGCTGGACCCCGACTGGCGGCGCCCACTGGCGGCGCCTCTGGCGCCGCCCCCGGCACGCTTTGTGCGCCAGGGGCGCAGGAGGGTCCAGCGCCAACCGAAGAAATCCGCGCGGACCCCTCAAAGAGTATGCTTGTGCTGTTCTTGCTCTTCGAACGGCCGCGGCATCGACATCGAGCTCCACGCCTCTCCGCTTCGGAGTTCGCTTCGGAAGGGTCGGGCGTCTTTGGAGGCTCTCGTCGACACGGCCACGGCTCGGGAACGCTGGGCGGCCTGGGCTGGGGGGACCCTGGCGGCATGCGTTTCGCCGTTTTGGGCCTTTGGGGCCTGTGCGGGGTCCTCGGGCTGTCAAGATCGACTCAGGACGAAAGCCAGCCCCAGAGAAGGAGTCGAGGGGTCCGGAGGCCCATCTGCCGCTGGACGGCTGAAAACGACGGCGACGACGGCGTCGAGGTTTTAGCTTTGGCGGTCTTTGGGCGCCCCTGGCCTGGAGGCTCTTGTCGCCACGGCCGGACACAGCTCGGGGAAGCAGCCGGAAGGGAGGCTACAAAGACGCCGAGGCCTTGGCTGCGGACGTTCTCTTGGGCGCTCCCTGGAGGCTCTCTTGGCCAGGCTCGGGAAACTGCATGGCCAGGATGGACCCCAAGGGTGGACGACGACGACGAAGACGACGACGACGATGACGACGACGACGACGAAGACCGTGACGACTCGGCTTGGGTCGGATATTTGTTGGTCGTGGGAGGCGGTGAATCTCGCCAGCGGCCCCGGGGTCCCGCAAGCGGCGCATGTTCCTGTCCAGCACTCTTCGCACCAAGCCCCGGTTGGCCATGCTGGATGCCTCTCGGAGGTTTTGGAGCCTCTGGTGGGGTGGGGTGGGGGGAGAACAGGAAGATGGCGAGTACAGAGGAGAAGGAGTAGGCAGGACGAGGAGCAGGAGGAGGAGGACGACGACGAGGCGAGGAGGAGGAGGAGGAGGAGGAGGAGGAGGAGGAGGAGGAGGAGGATGGAGGAGGAGGAGGGAGGGGAGGGAGAGGAAGGAGGAGGAGGAGGATGAGGAGGAGGAGGAGGAGGAGGAGAAGAAGGGGCTACAGGGGAGGAAGAGGAGGTTGAAAGAGGAGGAAGATGATGGGGACCACCATTCACACACATACATATACATGCACATGCATTTTCAGATGCATGATTACATGCACATACATATACATACACCTATGCATATACATATACCCATACATGTATATACACATATACACATACATATACACATACTTATACATATACATCGGCATACATGTACATTTACATATGCGTATGCATAGACATATACCTACACGTATACATGTACACATGCATGTATACACAGTTGTATATATGCGTATATGTATATCCGTGTATGTATGTGTACATGCATACATACATACATACAAACATACATACATACATACATACATACATACATACATACGAACATACATACCTACATACCTACATACCTACCTACCTACCTACCTACCTACCTACATACATACATACATACATACATACATACATACATACATACATACATGCATGCATGCATGCATACATACATACATACGTACATACATACATACATGCATACATGCATACATGCATACATGCATACATGCATACATGCATACATGCATATATATATATATATATATATATATATATATGTATATATTCATCTTCCTATGTGTTTACAAGCCGCGGGGTGGGACCCCCCCTCCAAAACCGCCCCCCAGGATCCCGGGTTTCCGGGCCCCCCCGACAGCGTTGCCGAAGGCCCCCCGGCTCGTCCCAGACCTCCCATGGCGTTCAGCCCGGTCTTGCCAGCAGCCCCGGAGCGATCACAGCTGTGATGAGAGAGGCCGAAGAGAGACCCAAGACAGCACAAGAGCGCTCCAGGAAGGACCCAGGTGGCCTCCAGAGGCCCCCAAGATGGCCCGGGAGGCCCTCAACAGGACTCCCAGAACGCAGAAATTGCGTCATTCCCTTGGGGAATGTACATTTTCAGCATATTCGCTGTTCGGGTCTTGAGCAGCGTCCAGAACAGCCAAAAAGGCTTCTGGTATCGCCCCAAGACGGCTCAAGAGACCCCAACAGAGCCTCTAGACGGCCTGGATGGCCCCAAGACTGCCCAAAGAAGCCGCACATGGGCCAAAAAGAAGCCCAACAGGCACTTACAAGGCCCCCAAGAAAAGCCCAAGAAGGGCATGGGAGGCCACCAGGAGGGCCCACGTAGCCCCCGTAAGGTCCATGCCCGGCACTTCTACAAGCGTGTACGTACACATGAACCCCCTCGACGGCGCCATTCCCGAAAGCTGGCCCAGCGTTTCTTCGCCAACTTGCCGGAAAGCTGGCTCAGTTTCTTAAGGAGACTGGTAGCATTGGATCCTAGAAATGAATGCTGCACGTTCCTGGTTCCAAAAGGTGGCCCAGCGTTCCCTCAAGAAACTTCTGAAAAGCTGGCTTTTCTTTCTTACTTGATAATTTCTCAATCACATTTTTGACTGCATGTGAAAGTGACAGCGGTGCTGGCGCACGAGCCGACGCCAATCAAGGACTTGGCCCGCCCGGCATCGCGAGGCGCACGACAGCGTTATGCGACGCTGCGCCGCTTCATCTGGGAGAACGTGCCGGCGCGCGGGGCCAACGCGATGGGCGCGGGGGGGTCCGCCCCGATGGGGAGTGACACTATCACCAAAAGGCAACGGCAAGGCTATAGACAAGGATTCGCGCACCGTCTGCGATCGAGTTCGTCAACTCTCAAAGGCACGATGTTCGCGGTGACCTGGCAAGGGCGAGTGCTCGGGCGGCGGGGGCAAAGGCGGCGAGTCAACGGTGCCCACCGCCGCGCTCGCAGGCGAGCGCCCAGGGCTGAAGGCGGCGGGGGCCGAGCGCCAGAAGGAGAACCCCGCCGACGAGACGCGCGTTGCGGAGGCCAGCCTGCGGGGCTTGGCGGGCAACGGCGCAGTCGAGTCGGCGGCGCGTTGGCAGCAGCGGCGCGCGCGGACTTCCCGCTGCCGCGCGCCGGGGGCCTGCGACGCGAAGCTGGCGGCCAGCGGCGCCGCGCGGCCCCTGGCGCAAGAGCGCGCCGCCGCGATCGCGAACGACCGAAGGCTCGCCCGCCAGATCCAAGCATCAGGGCGGCGAGCATGGGCGCCCCCCCTGGACCTCCCGATGCTAGACGACATCGGCCTCGGGGCCTTGGCCGGGGGGCAACGAGGAGGCGCGAGGGGCGCGGGCGAAGACGCGCGGGGCCGCCGAGACGCCCCGCGCGGCGTCTTCGAGGAGGCATCGAGCTCCCGGGTCGAGGGGGAGGGTCTGGAGCTGATCCGGGCCAGGTGGGGGCGCCGGCGGCGAGTTGGGGCTGAGGCCCCGTGGAGGCGCGCAGCCTGGGAGTTCGCGCGGCAGGAGGTGCGCGGCGACTGCTTCGCGGCATCCTCGACCAGCCAGACGCGAGCGAAAAAACGATCGACGCGGTTGCGCTAAAGGGGGGCGACGTGGCGTTCGGAGCTGACTGCGAAGCCTGCCACCAGGCCAGGCAGGCGGAGAAGGTGCGCGCGCGCCCCTTGCGGGGTGCGTCCAGATGCCCGCGCAGATGGCCTTGTCGACCGACGTCTCGTGGCACGGGCACCGCGTGTCCCCGGGGCGGCGAACTGCGCGCGCAGGGCGGGCGCAGACTGCCGGCAGGCGGCGCGCGCGCGAGAACCTCGAGCGCTGCGAAGCGCTATCCCAATTCTTGTTAAGACGACGAACAGAGTGCCAGTCGAGGTGCTCGCGGGCGACTTCCATTGGTGTGGGCCCGAGGGGGCGGCGAAGGATTGCGCGGCGAAGCTCGGGATTGTGTTCGACATGAAGGCGACGGACCTGTTCGCCGAGGGCCACTGTGGGCACCTGCGCATGGGGCCGCCTGCGGAAGTGCGGCAACGCGATCTTCCGCGGGGGCCCGAAGCTCGTCGTCGCGCCGCTCGACCTGCGCGAGACGGGGAAGGCCGAGAATGCGAAAGTTCCGGGCCTGACCGAGAACTATCCTGGCGATGATTTTGTCAAGCCAGGCGAGGGCTGTGAGCCCCCAGACGAAGAGGAGGCAGCTCGCTTCCGACGAGGAGTTGTCGCCGCACTCTACCTGGCCGCCGATCGCTGGGGCGCGCAGAGGGCTCGACGCCAGAAGGAACCGAGGGTTGTCGACTGGTGATAGTGAGGCGCTACTCGAATGGGGCGCAATGGTTCGGGCGCGTGCTCCAGGGGGCGGG